GAGAAGTCTTGGTTCTATCGAACCCTGAAACAATATCTTCGCTAGCGAAACCCGATGAGGAGTTATGAATTTTTGGAAAGCTCGATGAAGAAACCTGCACAACTTCAAAAATCCGCGACTGAATAAAGTGGGTAGAAAATATTTCTGATGCCGATTTCTGCTCTATCGATTTCTGGAAACGGCAGTTTGACAGCAAAATCGGGTTGGTAGTGAGAGATTGGAAGTGAGAAAGCCAAGATGGACAAGCCTATATAACGTGAATCAAACTGACAGAATAATTCGGAGAAAAAATGTTTTTAATCCACTCTTACACTCTTATTATCTACTGAAAAAAACAGATCAGGAGTTGAATAAGAGGAGAAACACCTGAACTCCGAAACGCCACCGAAAAGTTAAATAAAAGAAGCAAATTGAAGCTCATGAAGAATATTTGAACTCTTTATTTCGCCTGTTAATTCAACAAAAAAAACAAAGACTTTATTGAAAAATATTAGGCTGATTGGAGCCAATTGAAATTAAAAATAGTCACCATAAACCTTTTTGGGTTTTGAAAGCGGCCAGATGATTTTCATTTCGTCCTCATAACAAGCAAGAAATGATTCAGTGCCCGAGACCAACAAACACATAATGACCAATTAAAACGGTTTTAACCAAACCAAAGCAGCACTTGTGCCGGTACTTTTCTTATTATCCTAATTAAGCACGTTTAAGTGTAATTTACAAGGATTTTTTCGCCATATTCATGCAAATTCACTGCCAACTGGTATAACTGTGGTGGTCGTTTCGTCCTGGCAACTTTAACGACGAATAATCGCTGTAAATTGGCCGATTAATTGAATTCGACATTGATCATCACTTGTACTTTTCGTTGGCCAGACGATAGTGAAGAATCGGCTACCGACTTGCTGTTTTCGGTCGAACTGGAGCGGCCTAGACGCTGCGGGAGATAATTATCTTCAATTTGTAATAATTTTTTTGAAAAACAACCGCCACAAATGTCAGCTTTCTCTCGTCGAAAAAGTGCTTCGACTGGTTGTGCAGTCGCGTATTTTTACTGCCCGCGACGACTCGTTAAATCGCCATAAATCTTCCGCACTGGTTTGCATGCATTGTTTTTGGATTACTGGGTCATGGGGATCAGCCAATTGATCAGCAACGTTCAGGGAAGACGGTCAGCAACGGTTGGAACGGTCTTCTTCAGCTGGAATGTCGCACAATGGAAGAGCATCGAGCCGCTGCGTTGAAGATTTATCTTCATTCGAGCGGTGTTCACCAAATGCTTTTCATTCTTCCGACAAACGTCGACAATGTTGTTTATCCGAATTGGAGAAGAAAAGTTTGCAGCAATTCTGTTTCCGCGTTCTGTCAATAAAACGGCATCGGCGGCATGAATGCTCGGGAAGATTGAAGATCGACCATATGCGAGGGGCCGAATTGCTGGGATTTGTTTAACTAGTGGCAATACGGTGGACAACATGCCCAGTTTGTACAGATAGAATTTACCAACGCTTAAGTGTTTTTTTTGTTCAAGAAATATTGGTTTAAAGTTGATAATGGGAAACTGCCCAGAACTCGCCTGCTATTCATTTTCGAGAAAAAGTGAATAATAGCTTTTTTGCTGTCATTTAGTCCATCTATTCAGCAACGTCTCAATAATTCATCTATCGTTAGGAGTTTTGGAGATATGACGACTTTTGTGGAAACCAAGTGTACGCAATTTTCTCGAAAATCATATATGGAGGAACTTTGAAAAATATAGAGCGATTAGCAACTTGAAATTTGCTCACCGTATAGAAGCAACTGCAGGCTGAAAATGCTGGAAGTTTTACTCGCATCGCAGAAAATTCAGTTTTTTGTCGACTTTGCAAATGATGGGCCAAAGGTGAATATTTTTGCATAACGGCGCGTTCGACTTTAAAAAATTCACAATTTTCAATGCGAAGCAAGTACTAACTTGACATCTTCAACGCGTGTAGACGAAACTTGAGGCTAAAAACTCTGAAAGTTTAATTCAAATCACAGATTTTTTTAATTTTTTGCGACCGTGCCAAACTTGAACATTTTAAATCACGTGCGCCCTCTATTGCTGAAAATTACGAATCTCATTCTAGAGTCAGTAGCAATTTCAAATTTGCACACCGTATAGAAGAAACTTGGGGCTGGAAACGCTGAAAGTTTGAGTCGCATCGTAGATAATTCTGATTTTTTTCGACCTTGCGAATGGTGGACCAAAAGCGAACATTTTTGCTCAATTGTGCGCTCGATTTCCAAAAATTCCCCATTGCAATATGGAGCAAGTAACAACTCGAAATTTTCGTACCAAATAGCAAAAACACGGGGCACAACACGCGGAAAGTGTCAGTCGAATCGCAGAAAATTCTGAATTTTGTCGACCTTGCGATTGATGGGCCAAAAGTGAACGTTTTCGCTCAGTGGCGCGCTCAACTTCTAAAAAGTACCAATTTCAATATAAACAAAATAGCAAGTTGGAATTTCGACATCGTGTACCAGAAACTTGGGGCTCAGAACGCTGAAAGTTTCACTTAAATTGCAGAAAATTACAATTTTTATCGATGTTTCCAATTATGATCGAAAAGTGAACATTTCCAATTACTTGCAAGCTCGATTTCTAAAAATTCCCAATTTTACTCAAGAGTATATGGCAACTTGAAATTTGCAGACTTATAGTATATAGGTATAGAATAAACCTGGTGCTAAACACTCGTAAAGTTTCACAAGCATCTCAGAAAATCATGAATTTTATGGATCTTGCGAATGATGAGCCAAAAGTGAACATTTCCGTTCACTTGCGTCAATTGCCAATTTCTATATAGAGCCAGTTGCAGCCTGAAATTCTGACACCTTATAGACGAAACTAGGGGCTAGAAACTCTAAAAGTTTCAATCGAATCGCTGAAAATTTTGATCTGTGCGCGCTCAACTTCTAAAAAGTACCAATTTCAATATAGAGTAAATAGCAAGTTCAAATTTGCACATCGTATACCGGAAACTTGGGACTCAAAACGCTCAAAGTTTCACTTAAATCGCGGAAACTTCCAATTGTTGTCGATCTTGCGAATGATGGGCCAAAAGTGAACACTTCCGTTCAATTGCGTGCTCGACATCTAAAAATTCCCAGTTTCGATTCCAGAGCAACTAGGAAATTTAAACTTGCGCTCCGTAAAGAAGAAACCCGGCACTGAAGACGCTGAAGGTTTCACTTGCATCGCAAAATATTCTGATTTTTATCGATGTTGCGAGTTATGATCGAAAAGTCAACATTTTAAGTCACTTGCGCTTTCGACTTCTAAAAATTAACAATTTTACTGAAGAGTAAATAGCAACTTTAAATTTGCACGCTTGTATAGAATCAACTTGGGGCTAAAAACTCGGAAAGTTTCAGTGGCATCGAAGAAAATTCTAATTTTTGTCGACCTTGCGAATGATGGGACAAAAGTGAACATTTTGGATCACTTTCGAAAAAAGTGAAAACACATCATTAGACGGAACTTGGGGCTCGATAGTCTGAAAGTTTCACTCGCATGGCGGACGACTTTCCTTCCTGAGGTGGTTTCTATGCAATCAACGTCAACCAGGCCAAATTAAGCACCCGAAAACAAGTTTTTTCAGCCCCAACCTTTCAAATTTGGTCCGAAATCCAAAAATCGCCAGTGGCTCGCTAATTATTCACTTTCGGTAAAAAGGGAGTAAAACCTTTTCAATCGACATTGAGCTGCTCGATACACTGGCGTGCTCAGAATTGTTGCATCGGTTCTAGTTCCGGAGATATGACGCGATTTATTGGAGCCTTCTTCGAATAAACCACTAAATAGGCACTTTACAGGCCCAGACTTGCTTCACTTGATTGAACTCGACCGTGGTGGATTTGCATGTGGTTCGATTCATCTTGGTTCTTCGGGCTGGCAAAACTAGCCATTAAATCCGGACTGAGGCCCCGTCACGTGATAAATTAATCAGCCGCTTTTTCCACACACACCAAAACTATTACACATTATAGCCATAATTACGATACGATCTAAATTGCTTGATTGCTATTCCGCGCATAAAGAAAACACCTTTCAATTTCCTGGTGTTTTCTAATTGAACAAGCTTAGATCGGTATCGGTGCCTATGGGGTTTCGATACAATCGCTGAACTAAAAACAATACAGGTGCAAACAGTCGTGGTTTTGAAGATTAGCAGGACTAAACCTGATTGCAATTGGAGGAATTGTGTTCCTAAAAGACTGGAGGAAGACATGGAAGTACCAGCTCCAAGTCATTAATCAATCAGCCCCTGCAGCTGAAGCTCGCAATTACCATGTAAACAAGTAGTATACAGGGCCCATCAAACAGTTAGTCGGCTGCTAAACTGTTCATCTGTTGATTTACGTGTTGTCTTCATTAAGTGTGTGGTTCGGGTGTGAGATCAATCACACATAACGGGCGTTGCAGGAAAAAGCGATCGGTCCGATGATCTATTGGAAACATTGGAAATATTACCCGGCATGTAGGATTCATATGGTATTTAAGTAATAAACCTGCGGCAAAAACTATTAAATAATCGTCGCTCGTTTGAATGGGTATAGATTATCCGAGCTATTATAGCACAGCGGCATCGAGATGAATGAAACGAAACTGTGTTATTACTTCTTGTGTTTGTTTTGCCCGATGAACGGTATTTCATGTGGTTGAAGAAGTCGCGTTGGTTCAGAAGAAGAGCCTCTTCCACTCTCAAGCCTCTCGCGTGGAAGCCAGTAGAACTAGAAAAGCGCATTCATAACATTTAATGCGATTTCCTCAAGATTTGCCTGCTCGATAGTGGAACTGGCGCAATCACGATACGGATTTATTTTGCCTGCAACAGTACTGATTACCACTCGGCTTTGAAGATCCCCATCGGATAAATGACTTGCGCTTGTAGGAGAAACGTTCATTAATTAGTCGGGATTTTTCCATTCCTTCGGGATTTTTTGGTTTAATTTTGTTTTTTATTTTGCAGGATTAAGTATGCTTTGGATGGCCATCCTAGGTGCCATTTTGGTATGGACCAGCGTCCCAGCGGCAGAAAGCACTTCTTCGGATCGGCAAGGTACTCATTTAAGCACGCAATAAATTACTATTCTATCAATCTAAATTTGCCTAATTTGGAGATTTTTCCAGCAAGAAATAGCTGATTTGAAAGTCCACGATCAGAGACCAACTTTCAATTTAATTGAATTAATATTATTTTGTGATTGTGACCAAACGTCAAGGCTTCTACTGACAAAAGTTTCGAATTTGTGTCATAGTGACATTGGGAACACATGCGTTTTGGGAAATTTTTCTTTGGAAACTGGACTTTTCCAACAATTTTTTTAACAATTTCAATTTTAAAGAGCAAATCAAACTTCAGTATTCACACAATGTGAACTTTGTTTGTACCGTAATCAAGAGTTTTGGACAATTTTTTCGAAGAAAACTTGGCGAGATTTTATCCCAGAAATTAAAGTCTTGTTTTTGACGTGCAAAAGTTTCGAATTGCCTGCAGACCATTTTCAACAATTTGCCTTCTTCTAGTTCAAAAGTTCTACATTTGAGCCGCATTGTTGAGCCATTCGCACTAACCCAAAATATCCGAAATTAACCCAAAGTTACCCAATCTAGGGCTGGAAGCCTTCCAAGTTTCTTAATTCTTAAAAAGCCATCATTTCAGGACATCAACGTTTCGAATTTGTGCATTCCTCAGGTATATTTTGCCACTTTTTTTGTATTCTTTTGCACTATTGAAAAAGATTTTGTACAGTAACTTTAATCAATCATTTTGTCGAAATCCAATGCCAAAATTCACTTGCCACTTTGGTGCTTTCGATGCAGAAGGTATCGAGTTATGCGCGAAAGTTGCACAATTAACCACTCTTGATTCAGATGCACAAAAATGTCATTATACATTTTCAGCAAATTTAAGTTACAAGATAGTAACTTAAAATTGAGCTCAGGATGAGAAGTTCGGAATTTTTAAGCGATGGCGTGGGGTTGTGTTAATTTTTTTTCATTTTCGATCACTCATAGGGTTGTAAAAATTCGCATTTTCTTCGATTTGAGTGACTGATTCGATTTGACTTAAAATTTCAAGTTAGGAATTTTTTAATTTGGAAAGCACGAAATTTTTCAAAGATGACGTGCTTTTGTATGAACATTTTCATTTTTGGTCCATCATTCAAAAGATTGCAAAAACTTTGTATCGTCCTTGATTTGAGTGGAATTTTGTAGGTTTTAAGCACCACGTGTCTTCTATAGGGTAGGAGAATTTCAAGTTACTTGTCAAAATTGTTTGAAAAAGCACGTGCCGTCGGGCCAAAATTTAATTTTTTTGCCTTTCATTCATAGTGTTGTAAAAAATTGGTATCGTCCTCGATTCGAGTGGAATTTTGGCAGTGTTAAGTAGCAGGGGTCTTCTATAGGGGGAGCAAATTAAAAGTTACTCTCTGCTTTGGACTGACGGTAACGAATTTTGAAAAGATGGCGTGCAGTTTAGTAAAACTTTTAATTTTTGGTCCATCATTCTTAAGGTTGCCAAAAATTGGGGTCTCTTCCGAGTTGTGTGCAATTTTGGAAGATTTTAGCCCCTAGTGTATTATACGTATAGCGTGTACGAATTTAAAGTTTCTCCTTACTGTGGATTTAAAGTTACGATCATTTTAAGAAGAGCGTGCAGTTGAAGAAAATTTCCCTTTGGGTCCATCATTCATAGGGTTGTAAAAAATTCGAATCTCTCGTGATTTTTAGCCGCAAATGTGTTCTATAGGGTGAGCGAATTTGAAGTTACGCTCTGCTGTGGGTTGAAAGTAAGGAAAATAACTCATGCACCCTTTTAGCAACTTTGATATTTGCATCCAACTGCTTAAAAATGAATTTCCTGCACAAGCTACTTGCGCTTGTTCCGATACGAACAAGCAGCGGCTAGAAAACTCTTCAGCGACGCGTTGCAATTAAACAAAGGCCTCTCATTGACCGCGAAGTGCATTATTTACATAATAGTCTTTTACAGTTGTTCAAAGATCACAAACATATGCAAAACACTAAAATGAATGGTTATCGTCGGCTAATTTCCGCAATATCCATTAGTAGCATCTTATCTCTAGCCATCTACACTGTTCAATTAGCTACTTTCGCTTTGGTACTGAACAGTCGAGCCCGTTGCTCTTGCCACATTTTTGTTCAGTTCGCTGCACTTGTTTGATTCTCCTTTATCTGCTCCTGCAGGCTACCAGATCAACCCGAAACCCTGCTGGGTGGATGGGCAGGAAGGCACCTGTATGTTCGTATATGAATGCATCAAGTCCGAAGGTTACCATATCGGCATGTGTGTGGATGCTTTTATGTTTGGCTCCTGCTGCGCCTACAATGTGACCTCCAACGCTTTAGGGGCGGCCTCCAAACCGCAGGTTCTCTACACCACACCCACCCTTCACCAACCCACTACCAGGAAACCAATAAAGATCACCTCGATGGGATTCTACAGCAGTAGCCATCTGAGGCCGACAAGGTAATTTTTTAATCGGCGTCAAATGCCTGCAACTTCAAGAGAATCCGTAGTAACTGTTCTCGAAATTATCAGCCATTGTATGCAGGAAGTTAATTGTTTGTCACCTGCGGAAATTAATGGCAAATTTGGCACAGATACTTGTTCAGCTTCATTGGGCTTTGAAACCTTCCTGGATGATGCGCGCACAATACGCCTTTAAACGCTTGCACTCATCAACTTCTTCTGGCGGCCAAGTTGATCGATGGCCATCATTAGTTAAACTTGACCCAGATCTGTCCCATATGGGCGTCGCCAAATTAATTCCACCTCAAACAATCGAGCGTGTAAAAAGTGAAGGTACTTTCACTGGCCGCAGTTCGGGGAATCGTTATCAAATCATGCAAATCAGGCACAAACGTGATGTTCACCAGGAACATTCCTGACCGGTTAAGCGGGCAATTTTTTATTTTTCAAGACCATCTTCGCATGCCACCACGGAAGCAGGCACCAGCAAGCAGCACTCGATCTCCGTGTCGCTCAATGTGAGGCCTGGATCTTCATCCAGACAGCCCACGCAGCCTCCCAGGCACAGCTTGAGGCCGATGAGTACCGATGCTTTTTCGCATTCAAACAGCATTTTAGGTGAGTACTGGACAAGGAAAACTGATGTCGCGTGAAACTGATGGTGTAATGAGAGTGTGAACTTTCTAGCTCCATATACCAAGCCGGAAAAGCAGCCCAGCACGGAAAAAAGTGGATGGCAATTCACCACTGAGCCAGGCTTCGTGACTAGGCTGAAGAAGCCGTCGAGTTTCAAGCCGAAACCGTACAAGCCCACTAAAAAACCGCTGCCCACCCACAGCAAGTTCCCCAGCAAGCCCACCAAGCCCACCACTGAAAGGCAATAACCTCTATAGAGGAACTGGGCAGCTTGAACCAAATTCTTCTGTTGGCAGGTCCACGGAAACCGAGCCTCCCTCAACGCCCTCAACGTCTCCAAGCACGGAAACTGAGCCTCCGCCCATCTCCACTCTGAGCAGCTTGCTGGAGGATCAGATCGCCAACAAATCCGGTAGGTGGACAGATTGTTCCGTAGGTCAACCCGAACCACTTTGCCAATTAATCGTGGTAGTTGTACTAACAAGCCGACACTAAACTGCACTTTTCTCTTGAAGGCCTGCCATTGGTGCAACTGGGGGGCTCGCGCTGACAAAGTAGTTCGGATTGGCTTCATGTTACTATGTGAGTACAGCAACTCGAATTCATTCCCAGAATAGAGGGTTAATCTAGGGTTTTTCTGCGCAGAATGCGGGGTTCCCCAGATGGCAACCAAGGCGCAGATGCGGATTGTTGGGGGCAGGACCGCCCCCTTTGGGCGGTGGCCTTGGCAGGTGAGACTCTGCCCGTTGTTCTTGAGGTGTTGAACGTGGTTACTTTGTGTACCCATTTAACCAGTTAAAAAATGCAAATTTACATATGTGCAGGGTTATTTATTGAACTTTGGTCACCCCGTTTTTGCATCTAATTTGAAATTTAGAGAAAAATGTTAAATACAAAAGTTGTAAGTTTTAACGTCTAGTTTATTTTAAGATAATACCAATTGATAAAGGGTGTCTCAAGTTCAAGTGGCAGACCAAACTTACCTATTTTAAATGGAATGCCGTACTTTTCATTGCATATTCGAACTGTTCGCACAATTCTAGGCCTACTCTATAATTTTCAACTATTACTGAGTTAATAACCAATATTGATTGAATTTTGTCCAGCCCGTTTTAACAACTAATTTGAAATTTAGAGAAAAATATTAAATACAAACGTTTTAGATAGTAGGGTCTGGTTTATTGTAAGATAATACCAATTGATACAGGGTGTCTCAAACTCAAGTGGCGGTACAAACTTACAAATTTTTAAACGGAATCGCGCACTTTTTATTTGATATTCGAACTGTACGCAATATACCAGTCCGCTTGTATATAAATTTTCTATATTGATCTTCAGGTGTTTTTGAGTTAATAACCATTTAAATATTCGGGCATTTCATTTATACAATATTTAAGTTTGGTCAGGCACTTGAATTTGAGACACCCTGTATCAAATGTTATTATCTTAAAATAAACTAGATGTCAATATCTACAACTTTTGTATTTAAAATTTTTCTCTAAATTTCAAACTAGATGCGAAAACGGGGTGGCCAAAGTTCAATCAATATTGGTTATTAACTCAAAAACAGTTGAAAATCATTATAAAACATTTATATCGAATAGGCTTAGAATTGTGCGAATAGTTCGAATATGTAATAAAATGTGCGGCATTCCATTAAAAAAAAAGTAAGTTTGGTCAGCCACTTGAATTTGAGGCACCCTGTATCAATTGTTATTTTCTTCAAATAATCTAGATGTCAATATTGACAACTTTGGAATTTAACATTTTTCCTTAAATTTCAAATTAGATGCTAAAACGGGGTGGCCAAAGTTCAATCAATAACCCGGTACATTCCTGTAGATCCTATATAAAAGAACTGATCAAGGCTTCACGGGCACTTTTGGTTTACAAAGGTACTTTTATTGATAATTTTCAGAATTCTATTCTGTAGGCTTTGAAGCAAATTTAGTTTCCCGAAAAAGTGCAAAATATCGTTTTTTGCTCATAACTTTTGAACCGTTGGTGCAAAATTCCAAGCTTCGGCCCATATTTACTCATTTAATCACCAGAAAATTAATTTTCTCGGTAACAAAGTGACAGGTAATTCTTCTCTGGTACTCGACTCTCAATTTCCACAGGTCTCAGTTCGCCGAACCTCCTTCTTCGGCTTCTCCAGCACGCATCGATGCGGAGGAGCGATTTTGAACGAAAACTGGATCGCCACTGCAGGCCATTGCGTCGACGAGTAGGCCCCCAAAAATTTCCAGCCCCCTAAACCCCTACACACGTCTCTTGTTCCAGCCTGCTGACTTCGCAGATCCGGATTCGGGTTGGAGAGTACGACTTTTCCAGCGTCCAAGAGGACCTTCCCTACGCCGAGCGGTCAGTGGCCCGTAAAATCGTCCATCCGAAGTACAACTTTTTCACCTACGAATACGACCTGGCCCTGGTCCAGTTGGACAAGCCCATAGAGTTTGCCGCCCATATCCAGCCCATTTGCCTGCCGGCTACTGACGATCTGCTGATTGGGGAGAACGCCACAGTGACCGGCTGGGGGAGGCTGAGCGAAGGAGGCACTCTTCCCTCCGTCCTGCAAGAGGCAGGTTGACGTGCCGGGTGGAAAGCCTCGTGTTGCTATTGAGGGTTTTTTGCAGGTCCAAGTACCGATCGTGAGCAACGACCGCTGCAAGTCGATGTTTCTACGCGCTGGACGGCAGGAGATTATCCCGGAGATTTTCCTGTGCGCCGGACATGACGGGGGAGGGCAGGACTCCTGCCAAGGAGACTCGGGAGGGCCGCTGCAGGTCAAGGGCAAGGATGGGAGGTATTTTCTGGCCGGCATCATCTCATGGGGCATCGGCTGCGCCGAGGCGAATCTTCCAGGAGTTTGCACCAGAATATCCAAGTTTGTGCCCTGGATCCTCAAGTATGCCACTTGAGACAGTTGAGCCAGTTCCCAATTATTGGCCCTCGTAATTACTAAATATTTAATTTATTCCTTGTTGTGTATATTGTATATAATTTTCAAATAAACGCCCCAATCGGGGACCTAAAAACGATTGTCCGGCAACGTGATCGTGATGTGTTTCATTGGGCAATCCGGGTCCGGGCAGCAACGTTTCTCCACGATTTTCGCTCCCAGTTCCCCAACCAATCGCTTGGGATGGAGCAGGGTCTCCAGCAAGTCCAGCCCAGTTTGACAGGACATTGTTCTCCTTGGCACCTCCCTGCTGGGTCTTTCTGGATCAATAGTAGTCACCTGCAAGGGATTGTTGTGTAAGTTTTCCTCTGATAGATGAAGACAACATAGGTTCTGTTTTGTAGGCAATCGCAGCAAATTTTGGACATTAAAATATGAGTTATTTCACCCTTACTTACCCTGGCTAACTTTTTTTGATAAACTCAGTTACTACTCTTTTCACTAACTTTTCAGTTACTAAGGGGTAGCGATTTTTCGTTGACATAGATAGACGGATTCTAAAAAAAATTGTCAAGCAAAAACCAAAAAGCTATTCAGCCTGTCCAGAATCTCACGCGAAAGAGAAAATCTGCGGCTTGAAATGAGGGAAACCTCACTTTAATAGGAAATTTCTGGGAGTTTTCACGATTTTTTGAGATATCTACAAAATCGAAGCGATGGGTCGTTGGACAACACGGATTTTTCAAAAATTCCCGCAGGAAAAACCAAAAACTCCTGAATGCGGCCCATAACACCATTCGAAAGAGAAAATCGGCTGCTACAAATGCGGAAAAACTCACTTGATCAGGAATTTTCTGGGAGTTGAAGAGTTTCCAGAATGTTTTCAGTTACTAAGGGGAAGCGATTGGCCGTTAAAATAGAGAAATGGAATTTTTTTAAAATTGTCAACCAAAAACCAAAAATCTATCACGCCTGTCCAGAGTATCACGCGAAAGAGAAAATATGCGGCTTGAAATGAGGAAAACCTCACTTTAATCGGAAATTTCTGGGAGTTTGCAGGATTTTTTCAAATACCTACTAAATCCAAGCGATTGGTTGTTGGACAACACGTATTTTTCAAAAATTCCCCAAGGAAAAACAAAAAATTCCTGAATGCGGCCCATAACATCACTCGAAAGTGAAAATCGGCTGCTTGAAGTGCGGAAAAACTCACTGAAATTGGAAATTTCTGGGGGTTTTCAGGATGTTTTAAGAAACTAAGGGGAAGCGATTGGCCGTCGGTTTAGATAGACGGATTTAAAAACAATTGTCTAGGCAAAATAAAAATCTGTAAAGCCTGTCCAGAATATCACTCGAAACAGAAAATGTGCTACTTTAAATGAGGAAAACCTCATTTGATTGGAAAATTTTACAGAAGTTTTCAGAACTTTTTTCATATACTAAATCGAAGCCACTGGCCTTTGGACAACACGGATTTTTCAAAAATTCACCAAGGAAAAACAAAAAATCCCACAATCGGGGGTATCGATAGAAACAGAAAATGCACAGCTTTAAGTGCGGAAAAACTCACTTGAATAGGAAATTTCTGAGAGTTTCCAGAATTTTTGCAGTTGCGAAGCGCTAGATTAATCCATGACCATCTTTTTCTTTTGACTTTTTTCACTCTTCTAATTACCGGTGTCTCTATGTCTCCAATAACATCATGAGTGTTAGGAAACCCTTGGAAATAAATTAGTGAATCCCAGGAGAATAGTTTAAATTAATACTAATAGGACAATAATAAAAAATAAAGTAATCACCGAAATGCTACTCTCCTTCCAGCTGTTGCTTGCAGCCACTTTCCGGCCAATGTGGCATCGGATTTTGGCCGTTGTAAAAAAGGCCCGGTTGTTCTTCTCCGGCTGCAGGAGGATGATGTACAGTTTGGGCACAAACAGGAACACCCACGTGACCAGGGCACTTAGAGTGACGCACATGCACATGGTGATGGTCTAAAATCACAAAAACTCCCGAATACCAAACACTCCAAACCCTTCACACTCACCTTGGCCCCACTTCCAAAATAAATGGGCACAAAGGCAATCCAGATAACGCAAGTAGTGTACATGGCAAACCCGATAAACTTGGCCTCGCTGAAATTCTCCGGAACATTCCTGCTCTTGATCGCGTAGACCGTGCAGAGGAGAATGAGCACAAAGTCAAAAGCCAAAGGAACCACAATGGCCTCAAACGAAATATCGCACTCCATCAAGGTCTTGTTGGGCAAATAAACGAAGGCTATGGCAGGGGGTTGCAGATAGAGCATGGCTCCATTAGCCAGAGCCTCTAGGGAGATCAGGCTGAGCGCAATCATCACTTGAGCAGTGGCGGACATGAAGAGCAGCTTCCTATTGGGAAAGTTGCGCTTGCTCCCGGCCAGGATCCGCGCTATTCTATTGGTCTTGGTGAGCAGGGCGGAGTAAATCATCGCAAAGGCCACTCCGGGGAGAAGCCGAGTGGAAGCACAGCTCGATGGGGACGGCTTGGAGAGCATGGCAAAGATGGAGGCATGCGCCACAGTCATGCCAGCTAGAATCAAGTAGCAGAGCTCTTTGGAGGAGGATTTCACTACTGGCGTGTTGTTGTGCTGGATGAGGACGATGAAGGCGAAGGCCGTAGTTAACAGTCCGAGGATGGAGAACACCATAGCAACCACCGCAGATCGATCCGTCCACTGCACAAATTCCACCTGCAGGAGCTGGCAGGCTGCAAGTGAATCAACCAGTGGACTGGAGATGGAAGACTTTAATGGGGATTTTACCAGTTCGGTTGGAAGTTGCCGCAAATCCTTGAGGGCACTTTTCGCATTTATCCCCAGCCACTGAGAGGATCTCCTCTAGGGGACAGGGCACACACACCCAGCAGCGCTTGTCTTTGCCCCCCTGCTGGATATTCTACAAAAGAGCCTTCAGTCCCCAAACCAAACCATTTTGATTGCCGACCTTGTAGAAGCCATTGGGACACTCTTCCGCACAAACGCTCCTCACCAGTTTCCTGGAGCGGATTTCTGGAAACTTTGGGGGCTGCATCCAGAGCAAACTGCGGTTGTTCCAGCTCCCTACCTGGACATACTCAAAACTACCGTCGGGCATTTTTTGGTAGTTCATAATATCGTAACGCCCTGGAGGGTCGCCGTTTTCGTCAAACTGGAATGTTTCGCCGTTGAAGTCGAATGAAACATTCATCAGGTGGCTCTGGAAAACAGCCAGACAATGAAAGCGCACTAGTTTTCATGAAGAAAATGCCACCTTCAGCAAAGAACCGTTGAATGGAAGCATTTGAGGGCAGAATCCCGAACTGACGCCACACACCGCCTGAATCATGCTGTGCAAAGCATGAGCCAAAGAGTAAATCGCCTTGATCACGAAGCTCAGCTTTGGGTCCTGTTTGTAGTTGGTTTGAAGCGATTCCTGTCCTAAGAACCACATGCTTATTTATATGGATGAAAGGTTTGAGCTGCTATTAACCTGTGCAGTAAGGTTTGTGAGCCTCAGGGGGGCCAGAATACCGCTCTTTGATGGCGCATTGGAACTTTGCCTCCCAGAACTCTGGAAACCAGGGATTTCGGGTGTTTTTGTCCGGCTGCAAGGACCAGTAGTATTCATCAAAAGAATTCACATAAGGCGAGTGGATTCTTATGGATAATCCGCCCCAGGCTTGTGCTTCGTAGTGGCGTGTCACGTCGCTTCTATCCGCCCAACCATCACTGAAAAATTCTGGGTTTCTTACAGTTGAGAAGAATTTTTTAGGCCTAGGTAACTCAATGCGTTGGCGCAGTGCTGCGCAAGTGACTTTTACAAAAAAAAGTTAAAAGATGGATTTTATAGGAAAAGTCGTACTCTTTACAGTTTGGTCTTCTTTATCGTCTTTTTTGAATACCCGTTTTACCTTTGAATTTGGGACAAAATCGAAACAAGAAACAAAGTTATTTTGTTTTTTTCGACAAAACTTAGGTTTTCACAAAAAACGACCGGAGAAAGCAAAAGCATATAATCAATTTTTAGAAAACTCGTCATCTTCATCGCTCTGAAATTTTTTTAAGTTTCTTCAAAATCTCCGGATTTTCCAATTTTGGATCAAATAGTTTCAAGCAATCGTATGCGCAAAAGCAATATGTATTAAACTGGGAAATCCTCAAATCACCCCCAGAAGTTGTTAAGAGAGCACTACATGGTCTGGCTGTTCTGCTAATAGCTTGGCTATTAACCACAGGATTTCGCAAGTAAAAACGGCTTTTTAAAGTCAATTTAACTCCTACCTGCCAATGAACAGGAAATAGTTTGTCAAATTCAGTCGTTCAATGGCCCTTAAGAGGCCGCGAACGGTGAGTCCTTCACAGAAACACACCACCACTACAGCGTTCAGATCCTGCCTGAGGTTGAGGATCACTTTGTCGAAGACCTCATCAGCAGCGTTGCTCAGAACTGAGTCTTCGCGCGCTATGCACACATCCGCTTCGTCGGCCAACTCCCTAAACGCCTGTATTCCCGATTGCCCATAGTTTTCTAAAGAAAAAAACACTAAAACTCCAAAATGAAACAGCCAATTAACGCCGTCGCTTTTAAGCCCTAAAGTCTTTCAGTTTTTACTTCCGCCTTCGGCGGCCACAATTTCCTGCTGCCACTGATTGAATCTTATGCAAAACCGCTCAATGCGGAAAACCAATCAATGCCAACAGTTGTCGCCACTTAAGCCCCAAGTTGAGGGCCGATGGGCGAACAAAGCCCGAATAATTGACAAAAAGTCTGCAGTTGACATTCATTTATGTTTGGAAATTGGACTCTCTTTCACTCACCATCGGTGTTCACTGCCGAAACATACGACCAGCCGAAAAAGCGCACAATATCCAGAATAACTTGCGCTTGATAGTAATCCGAAGGCACCACCCGAAGAAAGTAGTTGAAGCGGTTCTTGTCCGATAGGTCTCGAGAGGTGGTCGAGTACCCGATCTGGAAAAAACTGCAGTTTCCCCACTTCTGCGGGTATTAACTGGAAAATTACCTGCGGAATATGAAAGAGCTGGAGCAGGTTCTGCACCTGCAGGGCCACAGAGCTGGATCCAGGCCCGATGATGCCCACTAAAGGCCCCTTGGCTTTGCCTTCTTCCACCTCTTCTTGCTCGCTTCCGAGGCACGTTTCCGGTCTAGAAACCGGCCTTATTGAGTCCCGGATCAGCTCAATGCTCTGCTGGAGGGCCACCGGCGCGTACCAGCACTCGTCTCGAATTTCCGCCCCCAGAGCAACATCTGGGAGCAAATCTGGATTACCGTTAATCTCATCCAAGGTCTGAAACATCGCCTCCACTCTCTGGATACCGTACAGTTCCCTAATCTCTCCACACTTTATATCTACAAAGTAAAACCTCACCCTCCCTGCTTGCATTAACAAAATTTTCTTTACCTAGACTAGCAAGGGAGTTCCTCATAGATACGGGCTGATGATGCAAAGGAAACAACCCTCCAACTACGAAATCTCCCATAAGAAAAGCTGAAGCTCGTTTACTGCTTTCGGAGTGGTTCCTCGAGCAGCAGCGCTGCACAAGGAGCGCAAAAATCCCCCATTGGGCCATCCTCAAAAAACACCGCTCCATATCAGGCTCATTTTGCCTGCAAAAGCAATTTTCCAGCTAAACACACAAACAATCCGCATGCAAAGACGCTGGATGCATTAAATATAAGGCCAAGATTGAAACGGTGGAATGGCACCGCTGAGGATTCGTTCCTTCGACTCGATTTCCCGGCCTCAAAAGCCTAAATCCGCAATTGGAAAGTGCACTTTTAAGGGGCTGAGAGGAGGCTTCGCCAGACCAGGTCAAGTGGACGCGCTCAATGGCCCTAGTTGCAAAAAACTTACCACTTACGCCACTAAACAGGCAGGAGTTTTCTTCATAAAACTTCGGAAAACCGCCTTCATTTTCCTGCAGTCTGCCAACAACTGACGTCTTGAAAGTTGGCGCTCGAACTGGAAAAAAGCACGCCGGCGCGAAAGTTTTCATTTATTTATTAAAAACCTGAATTCCTGCAGCTTTTCACACTAAAACAGCAACGAATACTCAAACACATTTATTGTCGCAGAATATTTGGAAAACCACATGGAAACGACCATCTACTTCGGCCTATTGTCATACAGATGCTCCTTAAGATTTAGGCAAAGACAAACTTAACAAAGCTCTTCGTTTCTCCAATCAGTCCAAGTCAATATCGGTGCTTCCGGCTCTTCACCGCGTGTTTTCGAGTGAATAGCTTGAAGCCATCCTTAGTGAAGCGCACATCTGGATCTTCTATGGGAATCGGCGTGTTGGAGCATTGAAGATGGGCGGCATAGGGATTTTTGATGATGGATAGTTGCTCCAGATCTCCCTGGAAAAAATTCAAAGCTGCTTTTTCTAGGGCTGGATGGAACAGGAAAAAACGCGCCTAGCGGTGAATCTTTTCCATATCGATTGTTTGCGCTCATAAAGTGAATATCGAATTCAAAAAATTCACTAAATTAAGCCCGCCAGTGGACATTAGCCAGGTTTTGAATGGTAGTAAGAGCATATGTGCTTAATCTGCTCACAAATACTTGAGTCTTAATTTCCGCCTGCTAGGGACTTTGGCATTGTTGAACCCCTCCTTGCAGAATTTCTCCAAGAGAAGTTAAACTGAAATTCAAAAATTTTACATAATGTTCCCAGCCCGTGGGCTATTTCCAGTTTCCGGGTATTAGTAAGAGAGTATTAGCTCTGACTCCTCACACAACTTTACGTCATGATTAGTTCTAGATAGGGAGATCGCGGTTGTTAAACCTCCTTTGCAGAATCGGCTCACAAAAAATTTAACTCAAAATCTAAAAATGTTCAGAAATTTTCTAGTCCGTAGATCAAAACCAGTTTCTGGGTATGAGTAAGGGAGAATTTGCCTCTATCTCCGCACAAAACTTCACGTTTTACTTTTGTGCCGTTGGCAAGTTTGCGATTGTGAAAATCCCCCTTGCAGAATCGCCACAGTTCGACTCAAATTGAAAATATTTTTTATTTTTTTCTAGCCCGTGGACTAACACAAATGTTTGCGCATTAGTGAGGGAGCATTTGAGCTTTATATTCAGAAATTCTCACGCATTTTTTGCACTCAGAGAGTGCGATTGTTAAAACCTTTTTGCAGAATTTTTTCCCCAAAGTGGAAGTCCAATTCAAAAACATTTTTTTTTATTTCTCCAAGTAGGAGACTAAAGTGGTTTTTTGGATTTGTATTAGTAAAGGCGCATGCGATCTTTGTTTTCACAGAATGTAAGTCCTTAACCTCTTCCAGTTGGGAAGCTGAGGGATGTTAAAAGTATCTTTGCAGATTGGTCCTTACGGAGTAAACTCCAAAAAAAGTTTTTTCCATTTTCCTCACACGTGCATTTAAGCGAATGTTCGGGTATTAGTTCAGGCGCATTTGCTCTAAGGTTCTTCAAAATGTAATATCTTAATCCCCTCGTGTTAGAAATATGGGGGAAGTGGAAATCGTCTTTTCAAAATGGCCCCCAAGAAGTAAACCATCAAAATGCTCTACCCTTGGCCAAAATCTGGGTCTTGATCTCCTGCCGTTAGGAAGTTGAGGGATGTTAAAAGTATATTTGCGTCTCGTCTCGCAAGAAGTGAACCGCAAGTTCAAAAAAGTTTCAATATTTCCCCAGTTCGCGGACTTTGGCCAATTTTTGGCTTTTAGCGAGGGAGCATATGTTCTACCTTTCTAGGAAGACTCAAATTCTTAATCGCCTTTTGTTCGAAAGTTGGGAAAAGTTGAAAAAGTTTTTGCAGAATAGCTCCCAAGAAATAAACCCAAAGTTCGAAAAATTTTCAAAATTTGTCCAGCCCGCCGTATATAGCCAATTTTTGCACCTTAGTAAGGGAGTATATGCTCTACCCTTGGACAAAAATCTGAATCTTGATCTCCTGCCGTAAAGAAGTTGGGGGATGTTAAAAGTGTCTTTGCAACCCGTCCCGCATGAAGTAAACCACAAGTTCAAAAAATTTTGAAAACTTCCCCTGCCCGCGGACTATAACCAGTTTTTAGATATTAGTAAGGGAGTATCTCGTCTACCTTTTCACCAAATCTCAATTATTAACCTCTTCCCGTCAAGAAAGGGGCGGCGTTTAAATTTCAACCGCCATTAATGCTTCCTTGTCCTCCACCAGGTATTCGATGGAGCATTCACCAAGTAAAAAAAATATTCTGAGGCCACGAGCGCATTTACCATTATTTGCAGAAGTTCTTTTCAGCTACAAATTGATTTGCTTACCGTAAATAAATAACCTACGATAATATCACAGTCATCGGGCACTTCCAGTGAATGGGCCAGCAGAACTTCCGTTCTGGACCATTCGCAGTCGACGAAAACATCCAGGATCCTCCCTTCTCGAAGACTAAAATAATCCGAAATCACCAAGAGGTTTGCCTGGATGCGGTGCTTACCTGAAGGCAATTTGATGCCAAACTCCATCGTCCAAGCCGGCAGGAATTCGCACCATGTCCGTTCCAGACTCAGCTGCATGGATCAACTTCAGGTCAGCTCCGGTCACTTCCAGCGATAGGTAAAGGTGCTGCCTGGATCTGGACCGAACGCTGAAAACTGTCCCCAAAGTTGCCTGTAATAGATTGGGATTGTCAAGCATTTTCCACTAGCTTTGTGTCGCGATATGGAAGCATTTTCCATATATTCTTGGGCGATTCAAGTCGGGATTAAATTCCAGATTCTTTGTCGAACTGGCACGAACTTTCCGCAACTCCCGCAATTTAATTTCGGTAAAAGCGGACGGGAATAAATAAGAATTTTCCTGTTCGCATCTGGAATTCTGGATGCTGCTTAGCACAACATGCTGATTTGATTTGGAAATTTTGTTCTGGAAAGTCTCTGTTTGCAGTTAGACGGAGTTTCATGAGTCGAAATCGGGCAATTTCTTGTTAGCATCAAGAATTAGCAAGCAAAATTCTCTCAGTAGCTCCAACAGTTAATAAAAAGGAAATTTCTTTGCAGAATGCAATTTCTCTTATTTGATCGAGATTCGAATTTAAATCCAGACGTTTTCTGCCGTTCTTACAGGCTTCGTTAGTTCGTGTCCAATTGGGCTTTGATATCGGAAAACTTCAAGAGGCTAGATGGGAAAGCGTGGAAAAACGAAAAACTGGAACAAAAATCGGGAGAGAAAAACCGACCCCGGAAAATCCAGGCTCTGACAACGGGATTCTTCCACACGCGCTTCTTTCTCCAATAAATTCCCATTTTACCCAGCCTCGGTTCGTCTGGAAATTTATTCCATAAAGCGTAGCGGGAAATGCGCATTACAAGTGACCCAGAAGGAATAATTGGATTCCTGCGATGGAAAAAATCGGACTTACATTGGGAACTCGCATCGTCAATGCCAGGGAAAAGTCCTTCGGGATGTTCCGGCACTCTTCATCTGAAAATAGGAGCGACGCCGGGATCCAGATATACGAATTGGGGGTGAGACGCCAAGCAGTCGGCCGATCGGCAAGCGGCTGCCAGCGATCCTGCGATGGATGGAAGAATTTTCCAGACTTTTGGTCCAGAGGAGTCACGGTTTCGCTGCAACTACAACAAGCGTGTGAACGTGTTCCAGGCGCCAACCAACCGCAATCACCTGAACAAATTGCAATGTCGCTGCTGGATGTTGAATCCAGAGCATTTTTGCTGCAGACAATGGCGAGTTCGCTGCTGGATTCCTGCTGAACAGGACACGCTGCAACTTGACCAATCACTCCATTGACTCCAGCCTGGATTAATGGAAAATCATCAGCGTCCGATTAATCAAAAATAGTTTGGGGCATTAAATGACTGGATAATTTCCTGCTCTGGCTCCATGCCATTGAAGTGGTTTAATTAAGCTGGTGCCAGAGCGGAATGAGTCTGTTTACTCCATCAGATTCCATCGGGAGCCCGTTGAGTTGAGTGATGTTTCCATTTATTTGTGGCGCCTCTGGATTGCACCGGAAAGTTGCCTTTTCCCGATAGTTTGGAACGAAGTTATATAAGCAAATTTATGATAAAACTGCAAAAAAAAGCTACAATATTTTATTTCAAAGCCTGGACGATCTTTGAGCAAATAAAAGTCCCATTTATTCCTGGAAAAACGAATGAAACAAACTTGCAGAGCATGCCATTATTCTTCCCGGCTGGCCATCAATTCGCCCAACAATCCGCCATCCAGCATATAAAGCGAAGCAGGAAAAAAACCCACTTCCACTGGAGATAATGGATGGTCCCCCCTATGGAAAACTACTTACCTAAAGCCTTCCAGACCCTCAGATCGGCGTTTTCGTCCCATTTCGCCACTGAGCCGGCACGAATCTCGTCCTGGATCAAGCTGGCAAACACCACATAGTCTCTGGGCACTTTGTTTCCATCCAGGCAATCGGCCGCAGTAGTTCTAGTCTCGAATGTAACGTTGATTTTGCTGGAAAATAAATGATAATTTCGGCAAATCAGCCGGAAAATTGCCCGGGCAGGATTAAGTTTAAAGCGGATTTAATTTAATGAAATTAATGTTTTGTCGAAATCGGTGAAATTCCTCTGGAACAATATGGGGAAGAGTTGGAAAGGGCTTGATTTTTCAGGAGAATTGATGGAAACCTGGGCAAATCAGTTGAAAAAGTGGCTGGTTTCAGCTGATTGTTTTCCAGTGGTTTATTGGAGCAAATATTTTCGGGAACTCTTTGGATACGTTTTGGAGCAAAATGAGGGAAAGTTGGAACGGGCTTGATTTTTCAGGAAAATCAATGGAAATTTAGGCAAACCAGTTGGAAAATTGCCATTTGGGCCTTCGTTGAAAAAGGGGCTCGTTTCAGCTGATCCCTCATATTCGAGCAAATTTTCTTTACTTACCATTTTCCTCCATCACTTCGCTGTAGGAAATTTCCTGAACTAATTAACAAAAACGCCTGCAAACGACAGCTTTTCAAACAAATCGCTGCCTTTGCAACTGGAGCACAGCAAAGGAAAAATCCGCCTGAGCAAACTTACCGAAAGTAATTATTCAGCTTCCTCCACTCCTTCAGGAAGCCGTCGCCCTTGTAAACAGTGATCAGCTCGAAAAACACCGTAAAAACACTAAAAGCGGGATCCTGAATGGGCAAAGCCATGCCGCGAAACACTAAAGAAGAGCGAAGCGTTGCATCCTCCAAACTGGTCTGTTTTGGGCCCAAAAGTTCCTCCAAGTCGCAACACTTGCAGATGGTGTTCACTGCGGCGATAATAACTAGAGTTTTTATGTGCATGGTTGCATAGTTTCCTGCTGGAAAGTGTTTTTTGCTATCTTCAAAGACCACTGGCCTGGGGAGCGAATGGGGAGAGAATGAACCGCATTTCCAGGCTCTCCTAATTAAATGCCGAAGAGAAAAGTGGAGGAATTAATTTCCGTCTTTGAGGGAACGGGGCTTCAGGATGCAATTTCCGGCAAACCGCGGTGGGTTAATTCGGTTCTTGGCAAATTATCTGCGAAATCAATTTGTGTCTTTAAACGTTAAATGTTTTTTGGCGTCCTCAAAACACTCACTCACCCTTTTGGGGGGCAATGCTACTTTTCCTCTTGAGGGATTTTCGGCGGGAAACTCGCCCCGTATTTTCGGAAATCCACTCTAAACAGCCGGCGATTTCAAGCGTTTGCACCGAACTGGCGCTTTCCCCAACTTGGAGAACGTGATCCATTGGGAGGGGTGCGCACAACCCCCCAAATTCGAGCCCTAAAACACGCTCTGTCACCTTCCCGTTCAATTGTTGTTGCCGATTGACTTCACTCCAAAACGCCTCTTTGTCGCCAGCCTCAAAACTCCAGAACCCGACAGGAAAAGCCCCATCCATCTATTAATACCCGGCAGCATAATTAGGCCCACAAATATCCATTGGGGAGATAACATGAACTACGTGAAAAAACGCCGGTAAATGAGATTCTATTTCTAGGCGGACGTGAGTGCTTTGTCTTATCACTTAGGCACGTTCCGAACGGGCCGTATGTCATCCCTCGAAGACAGGGGAATCGCTGGGCCCCCTTAAGACACCCCGTTCTGGATAACGAACTCGCATCATGATAAAAACGACCGAAAAAAATCGCGGCTAAAATTAGCTTCGGCTATTCTGAAAGTTAAATTTACCGGCGATCGCTCAGGGGCGTCCCAACAGGGCTTCGGGATCAAATGGCTCAAAGAACTGGGTTCTTAGCCGTACAGGCCTGCAACTGGAAGCTCGGTTGAGGACAACAAAATTCCCAGATGGCCGTTAAAGGAAGTGTCATTCACACCATCTAATTAGAGCGATTCCCTCTTTCGACTGTAGGTGCGGCAGCACGCCGCTGATTTCCCGAGGGGACAATTTCAAAGTCTGGAAAGGCAAAGTTCTGGCAGTACCACCCGCGAACATCATCCACGTGCCGTGTGCTCGCAGTTCGTGCCGAAAGTAACAAAAGTGCCGGGTTTCATGGAATGGATTGCGAAGAACTGGTAGGTTTGCCTGGCATTGTAACAGTGATTTTTAAAAAATTGCCGAAAATTTTGCGGTGGTGCTTTCCCAATGAGGCTCTCTGCAGTTTCTAGAACCACCTTTTCGCTATTCAATGGTGCTAAAACCATCCGTCTCGCTGCAGGCATTTTTGAGTGAAAAGGTTTTGAAACTGTTTTGTCAATTTGTCTGCACTTAACAGGGCAAAAAATCAACGTGCTTTAAATTTTGATTTAAAATTCAATTGATGAGTCTGAACGGAAACTTTCAGGCTGAATGCTGCAAACTATCCCCTATCTAGTAATGTCGAAGCCTTGTCTCTAGCTGCAATAGTTTTTGCGTAAAGTGAATTCAGAAAGTTGCCTGCTTTTTGCATCAAACTTTTCAGGGCGCTTTTGTTAAATTCGGGTTAAAATTTGGCCAAAATGATTTTTGAGTGAAACTGTGAGGGCTTATAGGGCACAAGTGTACTCATGCTTTCTGAGGTTTTGAGCAAACAGGTTTTGAAAATTAGACCCTGCATTTGATAGCAAAAAATTGGATTCTTCCTCAATTATTTTAAAGTTGTCATAATGATTTTTCAAGTAAAAATTTTCGACTCTAGTCTAAAGCCTTCTCCATTAAATGGCGTGAAAATTCCTTCTGGATCTGTTGTTTTTTTTAATTAAAGCATTTTGAAAAAATGCCTGCAACTCCGGTCCGGTGATACTTTCTATGGGCTACACATTTTTTTTTTCTGTTTAGTTGACTTTCTAAGTGAAACTTTATTCAACAGTTTGTCACACTTTTTTCCATTAAATGGAGGCAGTCAATTTTCCGGCTTCATATGAAGAGCAGATTTTAAAATCAGCCTGCACGTCAGATGGTAATTTCTGAGGGCTCATTCAAAATTGGATCACAAATGTGCTGAACGAGTGTTACCGTATTTTGGCCTTTTGAACACAGCCAAAATCAAACCGCTCGCTATGGTAGTTTTTGACGAAATCGATTCTAAAAATATGTCATTTTACAAAAAAATGGCAGGCAAAATGTTTCTAAAATTTGCCCGAAAATGCGATTGAATAGTCTTTCAAAGGAAATTTTCACGCCTTATCCAGCAATATTTTTCCTATCGAATGCAATAAAAATCATGTCTCTAGCTGTAAGAGTTTTTGAATAAACTGAGTCCAAAAATTAATCATTTACATTTTGTAGCAAACATTTCAAACCACTATAAAAGAATTTGAGTTAAAACTCATCGATAAAGTTTTTTGAGTGAAACTTTGTGGATGTATCGAGCACACGTTTTTCTGTTCACAGCTCTCAAATGCCGCCTTCAAGCTTATAGCAATTTTGAGTAAATAATTTTTGCAGAGAAGCCTGCATTTCTTACGGAAAATTCCAAAGTTTTTTTATCAATGTAAAAATTTTAGAAAAAGTTGTCCAAGTGAAACTTTTAGGCTTCACACAACGAGACTATATCCCCCCCCATTAATTGGAGTCAAAATTCCTTTTTCAGCTTGTGCTGTTTTGGAGTAAATGGATTTTGAAAAATTGCCTGCAATTCCGATGATCTTGTCTAAGGGCTAAAGTTATTTTAAAATCTTTTCTTTTCTTAAAAAAAAAGCTTCTAAATGAAACTCTTGCCAAGAATTTTGTCAAAGTTTTCTCCATTGAGTGGAAAAGAAATTAACTTTTTCGCTGGCGCCGTCGCTTAGTGAGTTGATGAAAATTGAAAGTGATCCTGCACTTCAGATTATTATTTCTGAGGGCTCATTTAAAATGTCTTCACAACTTTTATAAGAACGGGTTCTGAGTAAAACTTTTAACACTGACTCATCACTTTTTCGAGTTAAAATACCCAAAAGCAACCCCCCATTTGTAACGGTTTTTAAATGACTAGAGTTGAAAAGTAACCTGCTTAAAAAAGTATCTATAAAAATAAATTTAAAAAATATGAAATGAGTTTCCAAGTGTTCTCTTTCTGGTGGCGTATTGAGCAACTTTCCAGTTTGAACAGGGTTTCAGCAATAACATTTTCAAAAAGCGAATACTACAGTTTGCTTATCACGTATTTTTAAACAATTGATAAAAATTCACTCCTAAGGCTCTTTCCAGGAAGCTGATGTGAGTTTTTGAGAACTTTACAGCCTTTAAACTGGTGTTGAAGGCAAAAATCTGTCAATTTCCGTTTTTGAGTCATAAATTGTTTATAAGAGTTTTTACTACGCAAACCAGGCAAAGAGCAAGAAACTTTTAAAAAAATTCCACAAAAGTGAACGAAATGAAAGTTTCCAGTGAAACTTTCAGAGACTAAAGAACTCAACCTTTCAATAGAATCTAAAGCCAGTCTTAAACATAGGGGATTTTTGCGTGAATGAACTCTGAAAAACGCAAGCCTTAAGGACATAATTATCGCTTATAGAAATCGTTTTGAGTAAAAAACCCACTTTTTTCTATTAAATGAGTAGCTCCAACTCCTTTTTAGTTCCGAGTGGAAATATGTAAAAATCAATCTAATGGCAATGGAAATTCCGGCGCTTTTCCACCCGCTAAACTAGACAATGGAAATTGATAACTAGCGCCTCAAAATCGCCCTCAAACGCCCTCAAATCCAATATATATGTTAATCCGGGCGAGGATTTGTCATGTCTATTTACCCGGTTCAAGTCGACGTCGTTTCGCACAAAACGGTGCAATTTCTTCGACTTGACAATGATGATGGTCAATTTCGTACTGGCGCTTTGAACAGCCATCTGCATCTACCATTTGAAGGTTCATCGGCCTGCCAGCTCTTCTTTCACCCTCGCAGATGTTTCGTCTCCACATATCCGGTGTGGCGTTTATTTTTTCCAGAGCGATAAATCACGCGCCGAGATTAGGCAATATTTAGGGTGATAATATTGAGGATGTAAACCTGTCAAGCGAAAGAAACGGGTTATCCAGGCTCGTGTCCTTTTGCATTTGGTGTTGGCAAATCAAAGAAGAGTATTTTCTGGTAAACATTCTATCCAGACTATCTGGGGTTGATGGACTCGATTTCCAGTTCTCAGCGTAAAAAGCTTTCCAGCTTGAAAGCTATGCAGAAAACAGTTGAGTCTCCACTTATGCATTGATTGCGGTTTTTTCACGAAAACGGCCCGCTAGGCGAGAGTACAACTTCCTGCTCTTTCAGTCGTCAAGATCGATTGTTCCCAGTTAGTTGGCGTTTTTAGCTCGGTCTATTTCCTCTTGTTCCCTCAGACTTATTTACCGAAAAGTTTTTAAAAATAAACCGTGGCGACGAACTCAAACTAGCGTCCCGACGCCGATCAGCGTCCTAAAATAGGCGTCGGGAATTCCGCTCTTTTGCTAGACGACCGTCGTGCCCCCTGCGAACTTTCCAGCATCGCTTGGAAATTGAGTACGATTTCCATCGATTTTTTTCAAACTTTTCTCATCATGAAACTGGTGAGATTTTCGCACTTTTGAGCCTAGCTGGAGGCGTACCAGTGGCTTGCATCTTCAGAGGTGGATTGTTCGGGAAACCTCTGGAGGAATTCTTGTCCACCTTGGTCTTAGCGCGACGAACTCATCAGTCTGCAGCTCCTTTTCCCATCAAAATTTCATAGTAATTAAAAGCGTTTGGAGTAACTGTGAGCTATCCAGTTTCAAGCAAAAGCACATTTCCTGCACTAAGGGACTGTTTTAATCGCGTACAAACACCGTAAACTTAACATAAATATACAGGCGCTGTTTAGATGGGAACTTGTCATAACGCCGGCGGCTGGCAGGTTGATTTTTTACAGCCTCCAGAGCAATTTGTCCTTTTCAGCTCCCAATCCAGGCTGGTTTTTCTCGAAAAAGCCCCATTTCGCTCTAATCACCGAAGAGCTCTTTTATCTGTTGGGGCTTTGTGTCGATGGCGTTTTGCTTGCGCCTTTTGTAGTTCTCGGGTTGCAAACAAAACGCAACCACGTTCCTTTGTGTCCGGCTGGAATTGGCAGCAGACACTGGAAAAGATTGGCTGCCAGCGAACAATAATTAGGCTAAAAGGACAATATTCCTGCTGGGTATCGGGGCATCGATCTGGAAAAGGGCTTTGCTGCGGATTATGAAAGTGGAGCTTTACAGGAATTAACTAGACGTTTTTACGAGCAGGAATAGTGATTTAGGAGCGCTGAAGATACTTTGGATAGCTGGGATAGAGGATTATTTGATGAGACTAGATGACAAACCTGCTGATAGTGAGTCGATTTTTGAGAAATTGAGTTCGCAATTTTCTTTTCCTCTGTGCTTCCGAGGCCCAAAAGGTTTCGAGTTTTGAGTTGCAGGAAAATATTACATTGCCCTGCTTCTTAAAAAAAATTGTGACTTAGAAACGAATAACGCAAGAACGCACCTTTTTAGGTGAGCAGATAGAGGAAGGTTCATTCTATAACTGCTCAAACACACAAGCAGAAGTTCGTTTTCATAAATTTTTGACAATTTTTTTTAAAACGGCTGTATTCGTGCGCTTGACATTGTGGTTGGCTGTTCAAAAATTCGTCACTCGAAAACCGACTACGATAAAAATGTCTTTTTTATGTTCTAAAAAAAATAATTTTCGATTCTTTAACTTGAAAATGTTTTCTTAACTTTATACAAGAAATTAGGGCAAATTTTTGAAAAAATTACTGCTAGTTTGAGTTTTGCATTGAGGGTATTGACTTTTGCAAAAAAAAATTCAGAATTAATTATCCAAACAATGTCAAATGCTAGAAAATTGTTCTTAACGCTATTGGAAAAAGCAAAGTTTGTTCTATCGCTGCGAAACGTTTCCGCAGAAAACGAGTTTTAGTTGATTTTTGGCGAATTTTTGAACAACCCCGTTTAGTTGGTTTCATC